TTCAGCTGACTGCTAGCTGCAGTTCGGCAGTTCACATCTCTCCGGCTCAAGGTTGACTCAGCCTTCCATCCTTCCGAGGTGAGTAAAATGAGGACCCGGATTGTTGGGGGCAATAGGCTGACTCTGTAAACTGCTTAGAGGGGGCTGTAAAGGCACTATGAAGCGGTATTTAAGTCTAAGTGCTATTGTGTAGAGATGCACTTACTGGTTTTCTGCAAAGAAGAGAGCCAATCAATACAAAATGGTTTATATTCTGTTAACTGAAAAGAATACTGCTTGCCTGCCTTAGGGAGATTTACTTCCCTGAGAGAAAGCAGCACAAAATCTAGCAGTATTTAAAGTCCCACTCTACTACCACCAGATTAGGCCTTTCGATGCTTCACTCTACGTAATATCTAAGAACAGTTCTGGTTTGCCTTACCCACAAAAACATAAGTGCCTTCACATGCTGTCATCTTTCACGCGATGGCAGGAAGCAAATCACAAAAGTTTGGTACGTTGAGACAAACTACATCCTTCGCAAACGAAATCCCTTTATTGTTGTGAAAATGCAGAGTGGAAATACAAAGTGAAACACCAAATAAACTCTGCCAGCAATAAATTCTTCCGTAATATATTTAAAAATAGATAAATTGAAATTGTAAGATGCAAAAAAAGTAAGCACAGTTTAAATAAAGCATTGGCTCAACTTAGGAAAAGAGACGGGGGGAGGGGAGAAAGAGAAACATGCTAAAACAAACAGAATAACTCTTAAAAGAAGTGGGATTGGAGTAATTTGTTGTGGTAAAAGCATATGGAATTGAGTGGATGGATTGGAAATGAATCGATGAACTTAATCTTAGCAGTGCGCTACTTCCTTCGCTAAACTGGCTAATGGATCTAAGAGGGTACCCTGGTCCATTACGGTGACATTGGTGATAGGAAAAAAAAGAATCTTCCATGGGATTGATCTGCTGGATCCACAGAGGCTAGCAGTTTTCTTTGCTGATTCAGAAACTTTATGTTCGGTTCAAGTAGTGCAAATCACAAGCACTACTACTATTAGAATGGGATTTTAGAAATGTATGGTGCAATTATAAGGAGCAAAAGAAATAGTGTAGTATCTTAGCCTGTTTTTCTTGTTACGTCTAAGTCCATCTTTGCCTTGAGATAAAAGCACAGCTATTATCCCCATGCCCTGATGTTTCACTTTCTGAGGATTTGACCAAGGCCTTGAAATCCAAACTTAGTGTATGGGAAAACTACATGCTCCATTTCTTTTACAGTGCAAAGAAAATTCCACTATGCTCACATGTAACGCAAACTATCCTGTTTTATTGGGAAATCCTTTCCTTTCCTGCTACTCATGTCAAGTGATCAAGTGTCATGATAATCTTTTAAACTGGAAACTCACGAAATACAATTCTGAACTTGAACTTGAAAGCCCTGCTGGACTGGCCTTGTGGCCAAGAAAGTCAATTTCCAGAAAGTCCACAGTTATGAGGAAGTGATAGGGAATTCAGAGGAGTGACAGTGATGGGGAAATGGCAAAAGGACTGTTTACCTTGACATCCTGGCACTTACCATGCCCAGGCTTCTCAAGGCACAGAGCAAGAAAAACTGGATTATGCGCTGAATAATAAAAGGCGAGTTGTCCGTTTAGTTCTACTGTGGGCTGCTTTTTATGGTGATGTTTTGCCAGAAGAGGAAGCAGCAGTGGCGTTTCTGGAGGTAAGGCCCATTATTATTACAACAACTGTTGTCTCTTTGCAGTGAGAGTATTCATTGTAACATGGGCAAAGCCTGTTTTCAGTCTTCCAAGGATGTTACAAAAAGACCCATGGCGATATTTCAGGCTTTCATGAAAAAATGTCTTCTATGGGTGTCTCCTCCACATAATTTTAGGGAGGGTCCAGGGGTGGTTTACACCAGGTGTGGGTTGTTGCCAGTTTTACTAACGGTTCGCAACACGCACGTGTGCTGTTCAATGTACGTTGTTCTTCGCGCATGCGCAGAACAATTTACAGTGAACTGCGCATGTGCAGTCACTAAAAACCAAAATGGTAGTGGCCCAGCTGTGGTGAGGGAACTGGTTCGGGGGGCGTGACAGGCCTAGGTCGCTGCCGGTTCTGTGACCCAGGCCTGAATTCCACTACCGGTTCAGCCAAACTGGAAGTAACTCACCTTTGGTATACACTTACCTTCCCTATTGGTTTGCAAGTGTGAATGCGCACGCGCCACCTCCGTGCATGTGCAGATCCTTCCGCGCATGCACTTTTGGCAAAAAAAGGGCCTAAATGGGATGTTACAGAGCTAGTTGTGGGTGGGTGGAGCCACCCGTGGTTTTTGCTACCGGTTTGGGCAAGCCGGTCCGAACTAGTAGAATACCACCTCTGGGATGGTCCATTAGTTAAGCTTTATAATAATCATGGGATTCACTTTTAATAATACCTGAGATGGCCATCTCGCTGTGTCACTTGGCATAGCTAATCTCAATGTTCCTTTTGAGCATCAAATGAGGAAAACATTTGAAAAGCTATTTTATTATTGCTGGTGATAGATTGTTTTTCTTTTGTTTGATAATTAATACGGAATTGAAACGCTGCATTTTTTTAAAAAGAAAAACATCTGTTGAGCTAGAAAAATATGAAAGGAACCTAAAATAAATAAATTAAAATAAACCAAAAACAGGCCACAATTTTCAGTATTATAATGAGGGAAATATATTACTCTCAGAGTGAAGATCAAGGGTTTATCTACATCTCAAATATTTGATTGATTGATTGATTTAATTTGTATACTGCCCACTCTCAAAGAGACTCGAGGCGGCTTACAATAAAAAAGGGGGAGGGAAGGACATACAAAAACAAGACAACATTAAAAAACGCAACATTCACAACTGAGGGTGGGGCTAGATGATTCAACAGCCCCAGGCCTGCCGGAACAGCCAGGTCTTGGTCGCTTTGCGGAAGGCCGGAAGGGTAGTGAGGGTCCGGATCTCAACGGGGAGAT